CATTCTAATTTAACTTTTTCTAAAATAAGACCATCATTATTTCTAGTATTGTAGCGGTGAATGTCGCGAATTCTTACAATAAAATAATTAAAAAGATATCTGGGAACTATATTTGCAATGCACTCATTAACAAATCTAAAAATATGTGTTCGTCTTTTATAATAGAGGGGTTCCCAGCCCAGTTTAGTCATAGCTTGATCAGTTGTTGGTTTTGAGGCATCTTTGGAGTAGACGATCCTCGCTGCTCGTGGCTGTAGTCGTTCAAATGAGGACAATGGATGGTTGGCGTTGAGCTATATGCAGTGTAAAGGACTGAATCAACTGGCAAAGGTCCACTGTATTCATTTCCGTTGAACTTGAAATACCATCTGTTGAATTTGGAATTGGAATTGTGTAGAAGAATATTTCCCTGGTATTAGACTCTCAGGGCCGTATTTTGGTGGTTTGTTAAAAGAGCATTCCTGAAAACAAATTATAAAACAAACTACGAGAAAATAACCCAACTAAAAAAATACAGGCATGGGCACTGCTAAAAATGCGGTCGCGAAATAATTCATGAAGCCTGTTGTCCATAATGATGTAAGGTTTTCATAAACACATAAAGTATTCTGGGCTGATTGATTCATTAAGTAAAGGTCATAACACTGATTGGTCAGCGTAGCTAAGAATGATTTAGTCGAGATTATGTTTGTTTATTGCACTGTGAAATTCCAAATTAAAGCAGACCTGGTTAATGGTGTGGTAACCTTCACAAAAAAAATTGTGAAAATCATTCAGCTTTTGGTTAAGTTCTTCAAAATGTAGGTAGGTTACCAATGGTCTACAGACGAACGATTCATCCTATTAGAATTCTAAGTATATAAACGAAAATATGAAACTTTAAACGACTTTGACATTCCGGATGGTGGAAGAGAAAAAGAGAGTGTTCTGAAGAAAATGAGTCTACAAGCTCAACATCATTTCTAGTTGGATCGTTGCACTTCTTTTTAATACCAAAAAATCTTGCGGTGTAGATGTTATTTTGTTGACTAAGTTGAAGTTAAAGTGTCTGCTCGGGGGATAACTAACTGATGCTTCTCAGTAAGCTTCAATTTCAATACTCGAATGCCCCTCTCAAATTTGAACTCACTCATTCCCTGAACTTTTCTAATCGCGACATCGTACCCTGCGAACTCCAATATTTGTGAGCTTCAGGTGAAAGGGTCGGGTACACACTTTATTTTACCGCTGTCCGTACCCGTTACTGACTGCCATGCGCACTGTTTCCAGTTGGCCAACTGTCTTGGGTCAATATTTCCTACATCTCCTTTCTGTCCCTTTATTCCGATTTCTCATTCTCCTTTCAGACCCCTGGGGCCAGTCATCCCAGGGATACCCGTACCATTCACGCCTTTGCTTCCTGTTTCTCCTTTGGAGCCTTTGTAGCCTCTTGGACCAATTTTCCTGGGGATTCCTTCTCTGTCCTTTTCCCCCATGTTACCAATTCCTCCTCTTTCTCCAGTCAGCCCATTGTGCCCTCGGGGGCCTCTTGAGCCAGGTTTGCCGGGGATTCCTGCATCTCCTTGCCGACCTTTTTCCCCCATGTCGCCCCTTCTTCCCGGTGGACCCGAAGGACCTGGTGAGCACAGTACTTCTGCGGCTCCCGGAATTCCGTAGGATCCTGGCATTCCTTGCATTCCCAGCAATCCTGGCATTCCTGACTCGACGAGCACGACTGTCATCAAAAAGGTTACACTTAGAATTCATTTTTTCCCTTACGCTTTCTTTTTTAAAATTGATGAACAGGTGATGATCGGCCTAGCATTTCGACTTGTGAGGTTTACTTACTTACGTGTGAGTAACATGAATTGCGATCAAAGAGCTATCACGTTAGATCACAGGAAATTTTTATCATTGCAATATTTCACATTAGCAACTCAGATAAAACCGAATTTTCAGAGACCAATGTAATGGTTTTTGTTCAAAAAGGAAACCGAGATGTGGCATTCAATTTGCATATAAAGGAAACAAAATTAAGCATCAGTGGGATCTTTCCATACTGGAAGTTTATGGCAAACGTTAAGTCAATCGTATGATATTTTCTTTTTTTTCCCTATATTTCAATGCGCTAATGAAAAGACTATATGGTCTTAATCGCAAAAGTGACGAGTTTGCAGCTTCTCTAAAATAAGAACTCGAACGTCCAACACTGGCACCAAAATCAGGTATTCTTATATATATAAAAAAAGTGTATCGGAGTTTATTTGAATTTCTCACGATAATCAGCCCCTATAACATCGATTTGGCTAGTTAAAAAGTAGAATCATCTAATACTGTACACGTTCAATTGTAAATAATGGAAAAAATTTGTAAAGAAAGGTAGATCCAATTTTTGTTCTGTGGCCATGAGGGATTCAAGCTCTGGTTGGAATAACTGTGTTGCTGGTGAAGGTTCGTGGCAGTTATTCGGTTGTTCCCCGTTTTTGATCTAGAAATGCTGTCTGAGCACGAGGAATGAGCTGCACGCGTACAATCCTTCTTTATAGCCATATAGGGCTTTTTAAGTCTGAATCAGTGACAGCCAGTCGATACAACTATAATTGCGTGTACAGCAAGTAAACGTCACCTAAATTTTTAACATGGAGAAACATTGAATTTTACTGCTCATGTTGTCTTACTCTGCTGTTTCTGGTTTTACTGAAATAGCTTAAATCTAGTGTAAGAGCAAACGGTTTCTTTTGGACTCATCCTGGACTTATTTACTTCCATGCATGCTGTGGTTTAATCAGAAAATCAGTGGAGGAGTAGAGAGTCAGCTTTAAGCTCAACCACAAGTCAGACATTTGCTTTCAGTTTCTGAATAACGAATAGAGCGAAAGCATCGAAGCACGGGATCCGAATTCATCTTAAAGCGCATAATTAGTTCTCAGACAGCGTTCCCTCTATTTTCTTGCAATAGCTAGAAATTAACCTTTTCGACGAAAATTATTCCCAGTACGAATTCCTTACTTTGTTGATTTGTAAATTATTTTCAAGTTTGAGTTCCAACAGCTTTTCCCTGTGCCTCCGACTCAAGTTTCAGACAATATCAAGATTATTGGATGTGTTTACTGGAGTCTAGGGAAAATTCGAAGATTTCTGTACAATCTGATCACTTAAGATACTAGTCATTATCGCCGGGGGGTCGTGGGTAAGGGAGGGGGGTTTGACGATTTTGCTTGTGTCACGATATCGATGGAAATGGTTAGTACTGCAATCTTCTTAGAATCCCCGCTCATTGGCAGTTAATTGGGAGTCAATTTTCTGTAGTTCCCCCTTCTACTCTGGTGACAACAGATTCCCGCTCTTTTCCCCCCTAAGAACCTTGTGATCCCACCCTCAAAATCCCCCAACTCCACCCCCCTGATAAAAATGCTGTTACCTGAGGCTTCGAAGGATTTCTCAATGATCCCAGCCTCCTAAACCTCTATTATAGGCGGACGTGACGAGCAACCCTCCTCTCTCCGGGAATAAAAATTATGAAGGAGATTTATTTAACACAATTAATATCTGTAGTCGCATGAATAAAGGAAACATCCACAGCAATATTTTATTTGAATCAAAGGAAATTTCTGTTTAAGTTTAACTTTACTTTACTTTTATGTTAGAGTACAAACTTTTTTCCCAACGCCGTTGTCTATTCAGTTCTGCCGGATAACAGGACTACTGGGACGGTAGTACTTCTTCAATCATGATCCAGACACTGATTTCCATCCTGTGTGAGCGTCACCTAGTGTGAGCCCTGAGCACTTGCCTACCCAGAGTTCAACGCGAACCGTTCCTCGTGGGAGATTCTCACAGAGACCTTCAAAGAAATGAGGACGATGGATGTTGGGCATTGAGCTATGAAGATTAGCGTAAAGGACTGAATCAACTGGCAAAGGTTCACTGCATTCACTGCCACTGAATTTGAAATACCATCTGTTGCATTTGCGATTGGAATTGTAGACACGAATATTTCCTTTGTATGAGACTTTAAGGGCCATACTTTGGTGCAGTTTGTTAAAAGAGCATTCCTAAAAACAAATTATGAAACACATTGAGAGAAAATAAGCCAACTGAAAATATCGTGGGCACTGCGAAAAATGCGGACGCGAAATAATCCATGAAGTCTGTTGTTATGAAAGATTAATGCTAAGCTTTTCTTTTTATAAAAACCTTTATTGCAAGAACATTCAGGCAGAGAAATTTTAAGAACAAATAAAATTTAAGAACACACTAAGATGGCACTTAGGCTTAGAGTCAGTGAAGAATAGCTCTTTTTTTCGGTGAGAAAATTAAAGGTAAAAGAAGTGTTAAACTGTGGTTTAACAGGACAATTGAGTCAAATACTTGGGGACATTTTTTTTTATAAACTGACGCAGTTATTGCACGATACGCCCAGTTTGCGGTCGAATTAGTGGGGTCACGTACCTACGAATGATTTAGCCTCGACAACATTTTTTCTATTGAACGAAACCTAAGAAAAGCAAATGTTTACGGTGCGGAACTAGTAATTCTTAGTTATAGCAGACCTGGTCAGCGGTATAGTTATATTACTTTTAATGATAAATTTGTTGACATTGCGTAGCTTCCGGTAAAGTTATGTAAAAAGGCGGGTAGGTGACCAATGGTCTGTAGACGAACACTACATCGTATTTTAATACCAGTTATAAAAACGAAAATATGTAAGTTTAAACGAGTCCGAACATATGGATGAGTTAAATAGAGTGTTCTGAGGCTAAAAATGAGACTACAAGCTAAATGTCATTTCTAAATCAGTAAGATCATTGTGCTTCTGTTTAATACCAAAAAACTCGCTGTGTAGTTTGTTGATTTAGTGAAAGTGACTTTTAGGAGGCTACTGACTGATACGTTTCTCAGAAGGTTAAAGGCTACTCACCTTTATTTTCCCGCTGTCCGTACTCGTTGCTGACCTCCATGAGCACTGTTTCCAGTTGGCCAACTTTCTCGGGTCAATATTTGCTGCATCTCTTTTCTGTCCCTTTATAGCGATTCCTCTTGGTCCAAAGTTTCTTGGGATACCCGCGCCTTTTTCTCCTTTCTCTCCCATCTGACCCTTGGGACCTACCGGACCTCTTCCTCCTTTGAATCCTTTAGGGCCTCTTGGTCCAAAGTTTCCTGCAATACCCGCACCTTTTTCTCCTTTCTCTCCCATTTGGCCTTTCGGACCCACCAGGCCTCTTCCTCCTTTGAATCCTTTAGGGCCTCTTGGTCCAATGCTCCCTGCAATACCCGCACCTTTTTCTCCTTTCTCCCCCATTTGGCCTTTCGGACCCACCGGGCCTCTTCTTCCTTTGAATCCTTTGGAGCCTCTCGGGCCTATGTTGACTCCTTTCTCCCCCACCTGCCCTTTAGGACCCTCAGGGCCTTTTGGACCAGGTTTCCCAGGGATCCCTGCTACTGCTTGAGCACCTCGCTTTCCAGGGCTGCCTTACTCTCCTTTAGTGCCAGTGGTTAACTTTAGTGAAACAAGTGATAACATCAAATCTAAACAAAATGAAGTCAGAAACAGTGTTGTACAAAGACGTCATATTCAATTGAAGGGTTCGCTACTTGCAGGAACATATTACCATCTCTATTCATTTGGACGCCACGCTAGTATCTGGTGTCAATTCAGATTATCTGAGTAAGGTTCAATTTTGAGAGACTAAATAAACGGACTCACAAGGATTCTACTCATAGATCTAGAATATTCAGCCTTGTCAATCTTGAATACTCATGCACTTTTACAAAATGTACTTGAACATTTACTCCAAGGGACACTGGCTTTGTGTTCAATGATGTAAAACGTGTTTCATCAGTTCAATGGAAACATAAATGACATTCCTGCCTACACATTTGAACAAACTTAACAATCGAATACTGAAGTCAAAACTGTTCTACCACCAAAGAGTAGGAAATATAAACGTGAATTGCACAAAAACAAAACTTTGGTCTTCATTAAGAAGTAAAAATTTTGACATGAATAAAGAAAATTTGCAAATGGATTAAGAAATTCAATAACAGCAGTAGGCATGACAAAAAAGCCTAGAGTTTGTAAAGAAAAACAGACAGAAAAGTAACTCAAATACTCAGGGACATTAACTTTTACTCTGATGGGCGTTTCAGATTACTCTGAATTTGGTATTGAACACTCAATTTGAGACTGCTCCGTGTGGGAGACAAAGAAGCCTAATTTTAACACGACAGATTTCATGTTGAGAGCTCCGTCCTTAGACCTTGAATTGGCCATTGTGCTTTGTTCTTAGAAAAGATATAATATATAGATTTAGCCAAGCCTAAAAGAGGAGCTCCCAAGTTCGTAATATTAATGATAACATAAAAGATGTGCATTTGCCAAGACTCATCTGAGACACCCCTCCCTTCGTTTTGATAGGCTCTCCTAGCCTACCAGTGCAATCTGTAGACACGTACGTACGTACGCTCCGTCAGTCACGTGACAGCCAAGCGAAAAGAGGTTGACCATATTTCATGAGTATGGGGTAGACGCACGCGTGGGAGCCCTGCTATTATTTTCTCTGTGCCCCATCTCATAAGGAAGTCAACGTGGATACCAGCTAACTGAGAGGGAAACTGCTCAGAATGCCAGGGAAGTAACCTAAAATGCATGGGCCTGTCTCAAATGAAAGCTTCAACCTGAATCCTGGCTGAGCCGTTATATAGTTTTCTTTGATATGACCTAAACCATTTCGGTACCCAATGTCATTTGGGTGAGAACATGGGTGACATGAAAAGTTTGCTAAGACAAAAAGGAAATATTTTTACTGCTGGGAAACGTTCCTGCGCAATAAATAAGCCTCTTAGCACAAGTAGAAACTTTTTCAAACACTGGAAAATGATGCTTAATGACTATTTTTTTTTAATTATAATTATTTATTTGAATAAAATAATTTTTTTCAAATTTGTCAGGCATGCACAGCATACTACTGAAGATCAAAATTGGTGGAAATTGTAAAGCATGTCTACTATGAAATCTTTAAATTTAAAATGTTCTTCAACCAAACAAAGCCCTCTGGCTTGCAGCTATACTCCTTACGAATATTTTATTTACAAACAGTTGATCTGTTTGTTCATTAAAGGGGAAGGCCTTAAGATGATATCCTGATTAGCTTTTGGATCGCAACACAGTATGTCAGTTTGTTGATCAAGTTTCTGACCTTTAGACATGACCAATCAACAAACTCAAGTTGAAGAAAATAATCTTCCATGTAATCATCAATACCACAATGTTATGCCAATTGAATAAATTGTTAATCAATAATTAATTTATTAACTAGTACAGTAAACTGATTTCTAGAGTTTCACCATGTGGTGTATTTGTAGAGACTTGGCAGTATTCGTTCCAGTCTCCCCCGACGTTTGTTGTTCTAGTTGAAAAGGATGCCATGTGCTCGTAAATCGAAATAGAATTAAAGCTTTTCCTTCGTTGAATACGTCTCACACGAGAACATTCATTTTCTGGGGACTGAATTTGTCAGTAGATTTAGATGTGGATCCGAAGATCATATCTGTGTGCTTCAATTAAGGTATTGGTTATTGTTAATTGATCATTTGTAGCTCTCCACAAGACAGAATTGTAGAAAAATACTGTAACAGTTAGAGGCAATTCATGTAATGTACTAACACTTGTCAACTGACATCAATTAGATTTATAAAAATTGATAATTGATCAATAATTTTAAATCTCCCACTTGAATTGATCATGCAAGAACTCTTCAGAGAAGGGCAGAAAGACTAAAAAAAGATTTTTGGATGCATACAGGAAATTATTACACTTCATGGTACCTTTAAATCACATCCTAGTACAAAAATCACTTCACAGAGTAAAAAATTTCCTAAATACTTTGGGCACATTTTATTTTCAAACTCCAATTCTGTAGCCAACTAGAGTACCAGATCACTCAGCAACTCTCATTGACAATATTTACTTTAATTCCCTTGAGCACTTTTCCATCAGTGGAAATTTATGTTATATGATCTATCTGACCATCTTCCAATTTTGTCATTGTAAGTTGACTATAATCCTCTCAAACAGGAAACATCAAGATTTTTAGATGAGATTATTCGAATAAACTGGGATCATTTATTTGGAGATGGTTTAGAACCACGCAGTATGTTTGATAGTTTGTACAACAAGATATCTGAGGTTATTGATATACATGTACCCATCACACAATTATCTAAACAAGAATTAAAAGTACATCCAAACAATGGATAATCTCTACTAGAATAAAGAATGGTCTGTTCATGAAATTCTTTACAACAAAATCTACTTACTAGCATGCAAAATTTAAATTTATAGGAACAAACAGAATGTTACCGCTGGGCTTCACGTTCCCCAGCTGGGTCTCCTATGGGAGCGCTTGACTTTCGGGCATGCGCGTGAGTAGCCTTCGAGTAAAGACCACGAGCGCCACCGAGTTTTTACCTGAATTCAAGCTGAATTCGATCTGAATTCGATAGTGTAGTGCTGAGTTTTGAGTTCACGTCACGGTACCTCGTGTAAGAGTAAACGGTTAACTTTATGGTTCGTCTTCACCCGTATTTTCTAAACGGTAAACTTTACGGTTAGACTTTACTCGCATTTACACTGAATCATCTTATTAAATTAAGTGAGAGAAATAATCATAATTTGTTTTCAAATCATGCAAATAATAGCAGACATCTGGCAATGAATTAAACAAATTGTCCACACTAAACCACTCGTGAATCAATTGGTCAGCAAAACAGTATCGGAACATTGCAAAATAACTGATCCTAAATGAATAGCTGATGCATTCAATAATTATGTTGCCAACAAATACGTAGTCATCTTGCAAGTTCTATTGCTTGTGCTACAAAAAGTGCCAGTGAGTTTATGCCACCTCCTATATGCGATAGTTTGTCTTTGTCCCCAGTTCCTGTAGATGAACTCCAATTAGAAATAGTCAAACTTCAAATTGGTAAAGCTGTGAGTTTTTTTAGTATTCCTAACCGGCAGGTCTAAAACGCAGGTCACAGGTCACGGGTCACAGGTCACGGTTAACAGGTCACAGGTCACAGTTCATGGGTAACAGGACCTGTCTACCTGGACTTATCAATGAGCGATTTTAATGCGAAGACGCTATAGACTGTCCTGTGCATTCTTCGAAAAATAATCTTGTTCGAATTAAGCTTTTCAGTTTTCTTTTCAGCAGCTTTAGTTGGACCACAAACAAATTCATGTGTCCAAAAACTATGAGCCCGAAAACACGTAAAAATCCAACGGAGTTGTTCATTACGTGACACTCTGAATGTTAAGTCTCACGAAATTCGACGTCCGGGATTCATGGCCATGCATGATGGATTCATCGAGCTATGAGGTAAGAGAGTAACAAGAGAAAAGTGTAAAGTAACCGGAGAGTGTTTCGAATTAGGGAAGCCCTCTCCCTGAAAGAACTTAAAAACATGCAAGGCCGGGAAATTTTGCATTTCAAAGTGGCTTGGAAATGTAATCTCTCGTACGTGGCTTGAAACACTTTATGTTCGACTTTTGACTTGTGACCTGTTACCCGTGACCTGTGACCTGCGTTTTAGACCCACCGATTCCTAACTCAATTCTGAAGATCCATAATTGTTAATCCTAAGTAAGACTGCCCTATCTTTTTGGCCCTCTATGGTTATTATGAACAGCCTGTGCTCTTTCCATTTTTCATGTTATAATTTTTTTTGTATCATGTATATAATAAGTAAGGTACAAATAAAGTTGTTGTTGTTTACCACAGGCTCTACTTTGCCCTTATATTTGTATCCATATTCTCCCTACTGTTCTCTATACATTTCCTAAGGTGCTAATAAGCAGAATTTGTTTAACAATCAAGAGCTTCTTTAGTTGGTAAAACTTAAACAGTTGAACAGAACTGCATTCTGAGCCATCTTGAGTTGAGGCGAGCCTTTTACTTGAACATTTGTATGAGTGAACAGGGTCAAGAGGGCTAAATTGTAGCAGTGGAAGGAGGTTTATTTAATGAAACCAACACTATTAGAGAATCCCTGAGTCCCACTGCCAAAATGAAACAGCAGTTTTACCGTTAAATAACCAGCCCAAATTGTTTGTTTACAAACTTAAGGTATTTGACTAACCACTCAAAATGACTCTTGATGACTGTACACGGATTCAAACAACTAACTGATGCTCTACAAGTTAAGCCTAACTAATAAATGGGCAAATTTCATTTTGGGCTATGTTTAAAGTGCAGAAAAATACATGTATCATAAATAAACACTATGCAAACAATAGCAACTAAAAGACTTCTCTCTAGAATTGTATGGTAAAAATAAGCCTGCACTCATAAAATAATAGTCAAAATTTAATAAACCAGTCTGGAAACTGTCCAACATCTTTCCAATAAAGCCTAATTGGTAGTCAAATGCAGGACTTGATGTCGTCTTTTACACTTCATACTACAGATTCATAAACAAGATTTTTTGACTGGTCTTCATTGTTCTCCCCATCAGATACGGAATGCTGCTGGGTTGTAATTATAAACATTGGTAGAACTTGGTCGACCCACAAGTGTTCAAAGGTGTTAAAAAACTCGTAATTGCAAAGATCTTTTGGTAGCGTATCCGCATAACGAACGAGATATCTTGCATACTCGTGAAGCATGTCTTGGATGGCCTTTTTTATCACTGATGGCTCACATATTTCTTTGTGAACCTGACGTAGTTTAATCATATTACTTTCTGCATCTATTCTACCGATCTCCGTTAGCGCTAGGTTGTTCTGAACACAACGGATATAATAACGTACCTCGTGCAGCATCTTCGTGAAAACTACCTCATCGCTATCCCCGGGGTTTATGCTGTCAAGCAAATGTAAGGGTGAGTCTTCGAACTTTCTAACATAGGCTGTCATGCGTTCTCGATTTTCTAGAACGCTATGTAGTTCTTTGAGGAACTCAAAATCATTTCGGTCGTCTGCAGCGATCATTCCTGACCCTTCCGGATTAAATAAAATCTCTTGGCATTTGCTATAGTCAGCAGGAGAGTTAACCATTAAGCCAGCAGGATTATGACTAGACCGAAGCTCCGCAGGTTTGGGATCACGAAATATTGAGTCATTAGGAACACGACTAAACGGAAACTCCATAGAATTGGGATCATGAGGCACTGAGTCAATAGGATCATGTCTAGACTGATTCTTCATCGGATAGGGATCGCGAAGCTTTAAGCTGTTTACGTACGGAACCTTTTCATCGAGTTGCACACGCTATTTCACTCTTCTTTCGATTTCTTCATCTGGTACGTCCCCGTTGAAATATTCAAGACATCTCAAAACGACCTTTCGCGGTTCACCTTCAAAGAAAGGCTTTGCTACATTTCCCAACAATTCCACTACAAATCTTAATTCTTTCTTTATATTTACTGGTACTTCTCCCGGCATGAGAAGCAACGAATTGCAGGTATTTAGCGGCAAGAAAATCAAGTTGAGGTCTTCACGAAGGGCCCACAACTGAGATGACTCACTCGAAAATTTTCGGTAGTTGTTTTCAGCGAGCATGTATCTCAAAACATCAAGTCCAGTAACTTCAGAGTGGATTAGAGTACGTTCAAAAATGTTTTTTACATTGGAAATTTTCTGGAGGATGTTATCACTTTTCAGTTTGCTGTAATCGCTGTAAATTTTATCCGCGAAGTCGCGCCATTTTCGCCTCTGATGGTCCTTTCGATCTCTGCGCTGCAAATAACAGGAACCAACTAAGAAGATGATGAGTGAGAGAGAGAAATTTAAACAATAATACGCCAGTTATTTCATGGTTGTGCTCTTCAGCGAAGGTCTGATTGATAGTTAAGCTCGATTTACGGATTGAAGTGAGCAAATATGGCGGATTACTTGGAAAGCTGTATGGAAATCAACCTCGTACCCATGGCCTGTTCGTTTACTTGCGTGTGGGGTGGGAAAAGACCATAATTACCAACAATGATATTGATGTAAACTTTAATCATCTCGTTTTTCCCATTGCATCTCGGTATATGACTCGTCATTATCATCCTCCAAACTTTCGCCCGATTACTACTCATACACAACAGTACTTCAACCAGTCCTTCTTCCCAAAAACAATTAAACTTTGGAACAATCTCTCTCCCGAACTTGACGAGAAGGTTCGCGAGACTTATTCGGTTAATCCCCGCTACTGATCTATAAATGTAAAGGGAATATCATTCACTCTGAAATTAAACCATTGGCCAATGAGCACGTGTGCTTGATTGACATTTCACGAGCATTCGCGCTGCCTGAGCACTGAGTTGACGCGCGTATAATTTTTTCTTTTTCTATGGCCATAAAAGGCTTTTTAAGTTTGAATCAGGAACATCCAGTTGATACAAGTATAACTGCGTGTAGGACAAGCAAACGACACCTGATTTTCCGCTGATCCCGGTTTTACTCAAATAGTTAAATCCAGTGTAAGAGCAAACGCTTTTCTTTTGGAGTGATCTTGGACTAATTCACTTCCGTGCATACTGTGGTTTGGGCAGAGAATCAGTAGAGGAGTAGAGAGTCAGCTCTAAACTCAACCACAAGTCGTACATTTGCCTTTCAGTTTCTGGAATAAAGAATAGAGCGAAAGTATCGAAGCACGGGAGCCAAATTTATGCTAATATCTTATTTACTCAAAAGCGCACATTTAGTTCTAAGACGGCGTTCATTTTTTTCCTGTAATATTTAGAAATTTACCTTTACCCGATGAAAATTATTCCTAGTACAAATTCTTTACTTTGTTTGATTTGTAAATTGTTTTAAAGTTTGAGTTCCAACAGCGTTTCTAGTTCTTTCAGCGACGTGCATAAATTAGTCCAAGCCTAGGTTTGATTCCATTTTGATTCTGTTCCTTCATTATTGAAACTAACCATCGGCACGGCTTTTTCAGCCGCGTGATGTTTCATGTCGAACGAATTGATCCGAGGAAGTAAAGGCATCGAGCTTCGGCTTTCTTGTCCTCCAAACGGGGAAGTAAATTAGTGTTGCAAGACTGCGGCGATCGTTCAAACAATGGTTCCAAGGTTTCATTACATCCTAGTCCCGTGAGCAATTAAGAGCGAGAGAATTGGCTTCGATCTGTGTACGCCCAGCACGCAAAATTTCAATCTAAAAGGAATTTTTGTGATTTCTTACGAACACTTCTTGGAGGACTACTTTAAGACAACTATTCGCACGAAAGATTTAGGCAAGGACTTCTTCCATGGATTCAGCTCCTTCCTTGCTGAGTACAATCTCGTTGATAAGACAGTCCAAGTGTTTTACTTATTTGTTTACTTTTGATTTATAGTTAACAAAAATTCAGGAAAAAAACGGGAACAAAAAACGAAAATTGTGATACTATTAACCCAGATTTGAAGTAACTTCCTCATTATTTTCTTCCAGATTTAAGTACACCTCACCCTACCCCACCCCCCTCCTTCCCTGAGCACAGATTTACAAACGGTACATACGATTCATGCATATCACATCCCCTTAGTAAGTAAACAGCGTAAATAGAGAATATCCAATAGAGTATTCAAACAATTCTTTCTTTCTGATATTTTATTTATAATATGAGACATTGATTGTCAAAAATCAAAGTTGATTCCCTACATATCTTTCCATTGCGACTCTAAGTAATTTAGCTTTCCCCTTTGCATTATGATTAAAAGGTGTACTTTTTAACTTGGGTTTGATTTTGATTTACTCTGAAATTTAGTTAGTAACGTTCACCCCATAAACTCACTGACTATTCAGATTTGATGACAGGACTACTGGGATGGTGGGACTTCTTCAATCATGATCCGGGACACTGAATTCCATCCTGTGTAAGCGTTACCCAGTGTCAAACCAGAGCACTTGCCTACCCAGAGTTCAATGCGAATCGTTCCTTGTGGGAGATTCTCACAGAAACCTTCAAAGAAATGAGGACGCAGGATGTTGGGCGTTGAACTATAAAGAGTGTAGAGGACTGAATCAACTGGCAAAGGTCCGCCGCATTCATTTCCGTTGAACTTGAAATACCATCTGTTGCATTTGCCATTGGAATTGCGTAAACGAATGTTTCCTTGGTATGAGACTTTTAGGGCCGTATTTTGGTGTAGTTTGTTAAAAGAACATTCCTGAAAAAAAAATCATGAAACCCACTGAAAAAAATAACTCGTCTAAAATATCATGAGCACTGCAAAAAATGCGGAGCGGAAATAATTTATGAAGCCTGTTGTTATAAAAGTAATGTTAGACTTTTTGCTATAAGAACCTTTTTTATAAAAACACACTAAGAAGATACCCAGGCTGAGGGTCAGTCAAGAACGGCTCTTTTTTTCTTATTTTGGTGAGAAGTAAAATAGAGGGTAGGAGAAATGTAAAACTGTGGTCTAAAAGTCGAACATACTCTGGTCATGTCCGAATTGATAAATTACGACACAACTTTAGGAACATGTTAAGAATGTTTTCAGACTAAGAGCTTCCAGCCTCAACACCAAATCTACATGTTCTTATATAAAAAAGTGCGTAATATATATATAGATTTGAATTGAGTTTCTCACGATTACCAGCTCCTACAACATCGATGTGGCCAGTTAAAAAGTAATTCGAGTAGAACTTAGTCAAGTACTGGACACACAGCTGACTCGTTAAAAAAAAAAGACCTTTTTGTGAAGAAAAGGTACAATTTTTGGTCTGTGGCCATAAGGGGTTCAAGTTGTGGTTGAAATAACTGTCTTATAACGGTGTAAAGACGCTCCTTTGGACATGTCTTCCCTGCCCAGCGGCTAGGCAAGGAGTTCCTTCCAACTACAGTATGTACAGTCTGTACTGACTGATTCATTAAGTAAAGGTCATGATCGGTCAGCGTACCTAAAACTGATTTGGTTTCGATTATGTTGGGTTACTTTATACGAAGACTAAGAAAAGCAGATGTTTACGGCTGATACTGATTAATTTCACTGATAACCTTGTGGAAATTGCTTAACCTCCAGTAAAGTTAGGTAAAAAATGTCGGTAGGTGATCATTAGCGTGTGGACAAACACTACATCCTACTAAAATGCTAACTATAAAACTGAACGATAATATGTAACTTTTTAAACCAGTTGAAAATTCTGGATGGTGGAGGAAGAAAAGAGGATAATCTGAAGAAAATGATGCTACAGGCTGAAAGTCATTTTTAGTTAGATCAATGCCCTTCTTCTGGTGTTAGTTTGTTGAAGTTCAAGTGTCTTCTGGTGGGCAACTAACTAACACGCTTCTCAATAGGTTCAATCTCACCTAACTCCTGCACTGAAGTTTTCTCACCGCTAAATCGCATCTAAGGAGCTCCAATGCTTGCGAACTCAGGTATAGAGGCTACTCACCTTTATTTTACCGCTGTCCGTATCCGTTCTTGCCCTCCATGCGCACTGTTTCCAGTTGGCCAGCTGTCTGGGGTCAATATTTGCTCTATCTCCTTTCTGTCCCTTTGTTCCGTTTCCTCTTTCTCCTTTGTATCCTTTGGGACCCCTGGGGCCAGTCATCCCAGGGATACCCGCACCATTCACGCCTTTGCTTCCTGTTTCTCCTTTAGATCCCTTGTAGCCTCTTGGACCAATTTTCCCGGGAATTCCTTCACTGCCCTTTTCCCCCATGCTACCAATATCTCCTTTTTCTCCAGTCAGCCCTTTGTGCCCCCGGGGGCCTCTTAAGCCAGGTTTACCGGGGATTCCTGCATCTCCTTGCCGACCCTTTTCTCCCGTGTCGCCACGTCTTCCCGGCGGACCTGAAGGACCAGACGAGCCTGGTATCCCTAGGGTTCCCGGTATTCCGTTGAATCCGGGCATTCCCGGCATTCCCGGCAGTCCTGGCATTCCACACGACGAGCACGACTGTTAGCAAAGACCACAGGAATATAATTTTTAAGCTACAGATTGAACTCGTTTTTTCCGTCACGCTTTCTTTTTTTTTGGACATCCATGAACAGATGATGATTGGCCTGGCATTTCGACATGTCAGATTTACTTACTTGGTGTGCTACTTGTAACATTGCGATCAAAGAGCCGTCAAGTTGGATTATAACATTTTATCCTGGAAACATTTTGAATTATCTACTCAGATAAAACCAAACAATCTTGTTGAATCATAGGCCATTGTAGCTTTTTATCCAATAAGGAAATCGTAATGTGGCTTTCATTTGGCACAAGGACGAAATAAATACAGAAAAATACTCTGTTTTGGACATCGGTGGGATCTGCCCATACCGGAAGTTTACGGCAAACGTTATTATCTTATACTACATTTTGCTTCTTTTCCGATTTTCACTGGCTAGATTGCGTTTTTCGTGAAAAAGTTCTTTGCACTATCCTCTGATGCACTTCATTCGTACGATTTAACAGTGAAATACGGTGATGATTATTGTCAAGTACAACTAGCAAAATAACTGACAAACGACTCTGTTAGCAAAGTTAACAGCCAGTGCTTACCTTGCATTGTGATGATGAAACATTCCTTTGAAGTTCGTTGGCATTTGTTAATAAGTACATAAGGGAACTGACGGCGATAAGCACAGCCAAGAAGAAATCCTGCATCGCTGCGTTATATTGGATGCTGTTGATTATAAACTTGTTGGATCTTTAATGTTCTGACAAACAAACCCTTTGAACGTAGACAGCTTATTCCTTTCCATATAACACAGACTAGCCTCAGCTCGTCTTTGCACAACAGGAACATCATTCCATCCTAAGATGATAATGATTGGTTACTGTTCATATGTACGTGGTTAACATATCACGTGCATCAGCGCCATCGGAACAGTTGCGCTAACGCAGGATTCAAGTTCCCTTTTTCTGTTTCAGCGTTCTTCTAAATGAAAATTGGATGTTTCGGACAAGCAATTGACCTCTAACTGATATAATTTTCTAAAAGTTTACAAAAATAAGGAGCACGTACTGGTACTGGAAGAAGAGTTCATCTTATGATAAAAAATAAAAAAGCCGTAGTTTTCGAGTTTCAATGTCAAGGTAATAGTATTTGAATGTGAAATGCGTTTAAGCTGATGATTTTAAAATCGAAACAGAATAATTTCGAAGTCATCTGCCTCCGGCTATGTCGATGTACTTTGATAAGAAGGAATACGATTCCCATCTGAGACATAATGATTGGATATTCGCTTAAACTCTTCCTTGATATCACTTGCTTCAGCGCATCATGTACATCTGCCATAGACATGCTCACACTCGTCTTCCTTTTCCGCATTCTCTACTCGCCGAAGAGCGTGACTGGTTTGGCTTCCTAAAATATTTGCCAGCTGATCTGGCGTTATTGTCCGCGTAACAAAAGATAACAAGGCGATCTTCTCAAAAGAAGGAAACTGGAATGTTTAAGCTTTAAAGCTCCGAGGACAGTATTTTTTGAACTGTGATTTTTGTTGTGCCACAAGTAAGGAGAAGAAAGAGTGCGGGGTCTGTAGATCGGTTAATCCTTTAAACGCAAGGAGTGATTAACATGTAACCTCTCCTTGTGATATCGATACATTATTCAGTATCAGGTAATGAGAATACTTAAACTTATCAGCCGGAAGTTGTTACTTGATCTAACACCAAATTCTCGAATCTAAGTTACCAGGAAATGTGCAGCAGTTACAGTGGAGAATTAACAATCAAATCTTGGGATTTAAAGGGTTAATATGATATATTATGGAAGTAAAGGGTCACATGGGATATTTTCTGTAATTTCATATTATTTTGCTTAAGCGAGTTAT